TACTGTTGAATGTATGTATTAGGGACCTTACATTACAATAGATGAAGGTTACAGCCATCACAACTTACATCCCAAAGTTGGCTGATGTGGGATCCAGCCCCAGCCTGTTTCTTGTAGACAGATTCCAATGTAGAGATCTGTTATTTCCAGATGCCTGACAACTTGCATTTCTACATTTTTTTGAGTGTCCCACTGTCATGGAATGCCTTGTGACACCTCTGATCTTGCTGAGTTAACACTGTAGCCTAAGAAGACTCATACTGGTCTCTAGTGCCTACTCTTTGAGTAAAGCATGGTTTGTTCTCAATGTCTTGTCCTGTAAGCTATTGATCTCATCCTCCCTACTCACTGGTAGCTTTGACCTGATCTTTCATGTTCCAGAATTGAGTACGTCTGTGCTTTACTCATCTTGTTACTTTAGTGAAGTATTTTCAGCAGCATTCAGGATTAATCAGACTCTCCTGAAACCAAAAGTTGTTTTCCCACTGTTTTCAGGGGGAGCTGTTAGAGCAGGGCTTGGTGCTGTTGGGGGTCCTATGCTGACTAACTGCAGATGGAGGAGGCAGGGGAAGGGCTTAAAGGATCTGGTATGTTTCATGGCAGAAGCAGTTTTGGAGGACTTCGGATAGAGAATCCCAAACTGAGCCTGGAGTGCATGAGGAGAACACAGAGAGGAAGACAAGGTAAACGTGACTTCAAGGAATCCTGTTCACATCCCTGGTGATGGCAATGAATGAATGAAAGATTCAGAACCTCCCTGTGATATTGGGATGGCCGTTTTTTGCGGTTATCGCAAGGGAAGAATTGCCATGAGTAAAAAAAACAAAACATCCTGCTGTCCAGAAATATAAGACAACAGCATTGGTGAAGAGGGCCCATCCTCCGCAGCCCTTCCCCTCATGACTCCTCCACACTCAGGAAGTGGCAAGGCTGTTCTGTGTGGCCAAAAAGAAGGCAGCAAAACTCCGGTGAAAAAGGGAGTTAGAGCTGATCGGTAAGCCATGGGCACTGAACATCTCTCAAGAGATAAGTCTCTGATGCTTGATTCTTTTTAGTCCTTTTGGAGACCGTGATAAGGAGGCGGCAGTTGCTTTGTCAGGGTTGCTCACGCTTTTTTGCACACTGTGTTCAGTTGCTGAACTTGTTCAGATAAGACAAACATCTAAACTCCATTTCCGGAGACACATACCAGTCTTTACACTCAGGCAATGGTTATACCAGGGGTGGGCTCCTGGAGACAAAACTGATGTCAAAAGCCTGTGGAAGGATTCTCTACAGCAGCTGGTGCTTTTGCATCTCTTCTGCTCCAAAACTGGAATTCAGACTTTCCAAAGGCGTTGGGGTGTTTGGGAAAATGGGCTGCCAGCATCTCACTGGGAGCAGTGGGGAGGATTGGTTTAGGCACCAGGGCTCCAGTTACTGCACAGTGCCAAATTGGTGCTGACTTGTCCTAAGCAAGGTGTCCAATTTTGCTGTTTTTCTGCACTGAAAATTGAAGTACTTCAAATGCTGTCTAGAAATCCTGCAAGGAAAAGGGCTGCTGAAAATTAGATTCAGTGCCTTCTTTTCTTGCCTCCAACAGATTTTGCCTGAAATAAATAAAGGGAGCCCTCAAAATATTTGATCCCTAGGATGTGCAGAAAGCACTGTCACCGCTGTGTCCCTCAGAGATGTTCCTCCCCATAACCCTGCAGAGTGCTCAGCTTAACTCTGGTGAGCAGCAATTGCATCACTTATGCATCTCATCATCTAATCCCATTTATAGCCCAAGATGCCAGTACATTTTAAAAACCTGCAATGGAAAGGCCTATTACTAGGCTACAGTTCTGTCAGTGTAGGGTTATTCAATTAGCTGGGATGCAAGTCATTAATGTGGCCTTTTTTTTTTTTTTTTTTTTTTAATTGCTACTAACAGAACAGTGATTTAAGGCATTTCTGAATTCCATTGACATTTCCTTTCCCTGCCAGTTGCACAGGGTCAAATGCTGGGCCTAAGGCATGTGACAGCGTCCTCCTGCAGTCTGCAGCAACATCAAATCCTGTCCTGAGACCGGCTCTGGGAGGAATGGATGCACAGACCCCTCCTTCCACGTGCTGCATTGAATTCTCTGATACTGGTAGCTCAGAAGTGCTGTCTAATGGTGTGGATTTCCCAGCTTTTCTGCAGTGGTTTTCCCACTGCATGGGAGCTGTTTTGGAAAGCAGTGACCTAATCACGGTGCCAAGGCCTCGGTGTATTTGTGACCTCGTGCTTCACAGCTTCTTCCTGTGCTCTGCTGATGTGCTGTAGAAATTGGAATAATGTGTTTTGCCTGCAGGCAAAACCTCCCAGTCCTGAAGTCTTACAGCAGTGTTTCCCACATGGAAACATTTCTCCTGCTTTATCTGTATACACCTGCTAATATGTAAGTATTCCCCCCTGTGCCCATCTATTCTGGTGCCTTTATTCCCCCAGGCTTTTGTTTTGCTCTTCCCATTCCAGGCTGGCTGCTTGCCCTTTGGAAAAGCTGCGTCTCCCTTCCTATGGAAAGCAGCTCCCAGAGATGCCTGAGCCCTGAGCAGCAAAACTTTGCTGTTTCAAAGTCACATTGACCTGAGTGCTGCAGCAAACGTGTACAGCGTCTGCTGCCGTTGTTTCGCATGAGGGAGCTGCAGTCAAATATTAAAAAGGCAGCAAGAGCATTAAATTATTCGACAACAGAACATTGTCATTCCTCCATAAAACTATTTTGACCTGTAGTTTTCTATGGAGTCCATTGCTCTTAAATGTGCAATGAGAAAGGAAATTAAAAATTAATCTTTATTTCCATCTCAGAAGAAAACCTTAATTCTCTGCATTGAAATTATACTCGTAATCCAGGGTAATAAATTATAGTTTTTAATTGCAGCCAGTCACAGCCAATCAAATGTGGATGTCTCTCTTTCTCTCGCTTGCTTTAACTTTGCTATGCAGAAAAACTCGTGGAGTGCTGGAAAAAATTCATGCACGTTGACCAAGGCTCTTATCTTGTAGCATAAGCTTACAACAACTGGGCTCTGCTCTTTTCTGGCATCCTAGAGCTGATGACCTGAGAGTACCTTGTAGGGCAACGATTGCACCATACTCTCAGCCACAGGCAAACGGGTCTATTCAACCATTTCAACGTGGAAAAGGTGGTGCAGCATCTTGTTCAAGGTTACGTGCTGTCAGTCAGTGAGCTAGGAACAAAATCTAGATTTTGTTCAACTGGTTCAACTGCTTTTGACTATCAAACAGTGCTCCCCCAAGCACTGGGAGCCAGGATGTGCTGCTCTGGCCCACTGGCTGACTTGGCTGGCTTTAAGTACCCAAGCTGTGATGTTGTGTCTCTTCTTGCAAAAAATAAAAAAATAAAAAAAAAAAGGACAGTTGAGTAATGCAGAGGTTTATGCTCAGGGCCTAATGAAGGGACCTTTGTGTTCATTTACAGTAGTTGTGTTTTGTGTTTTACTTGTGTTGTAGGCAAATGAAATGTCTATTGATGTTTGACACTGTTGTATTACACATGATGAAAGCTACCTTGGAGTTGGAGTAGCTAACCTTTATGGGTCCCTTCCAAGTCAAACGGTTCTATAGACTGAGTTTGCTAAGATATGGCATGCTTTTAAACCATAAAGGGAGGTGTTTCTGTTCCCAAATAACTGATGTTTGCTTTTGTCAGCTTCTTCCAGTGCTGTCTCACAATGTCTATCTGAGTACTTTCACACCTTCTGCTAGATGATCCTGGCTGGCTGTCATCTCACCACTTGCATGGTGGCACTAAGCCAGGGGTTGTTGTCTGTGAGAGCAGCCTATAAAATTCAAATACCTGGGCAGTGCATCTGAGTTTTTTCTTAGCACCTTTGTCCGAGCAGCTCAGCCTTGACATATTTTTAATATCTTTTTTGCTATGGCATGTCCAAACAATATACAAGCTAGACTTGTATAGAACAGGGAGGATTTTAAAGATGTCTTAGCATTTCCAAGCTCAGCAAGGAGAAGGGAGAGCCAATGGATGGATTGGATTCTTTGGCTGGAGGCAGTAATAGTGGGGGTAGAAGTCTATAGTTTTGATAACAGTCCCTAGGTCTGTTTCCTAGCTTTTTCTTAATGTACTGATATGTGGAAGAGTGGGCATGACAGAAAGGGCAACAAAGTGCCTAAACATCACAGCAGCTGCTGTGGGAATAGGATGTGGTCCACCTGACATTAAAAAGCCTTCTCCAGTTGCACAGTGTTATCAGTATATATTCACAGTGAAGGTTACTAATCAGGATTAACCTGGCACATCTATAGTCTTTGATTTGGAGAAGGCTGTAAGATTTCTGCAGTGTGTGGCCATTTCTCCTCATGTGCTCAATGTGACTGGTAGCAATGAGGAGAGTGGTGAAATCCGTACTTCAGGATGCATTAAAAAGAACAGACAGTAAATCTAGCAATGTTTTTGACCAAGAGCACTTATATTCTTGATGAGTAGTCCCCAGATTCCAGATATGAGTTTTATGGAATCTTATTCTCCACTGGCAATTTAACAGAGAGCTTCAGCTGGGCTAAAAGAAACATTAGCCTTGGCAAAGCATCCCTTGGCCATGGCTGATGTGGAGGCCATTGGGAGTTCTGCTGCCCACCCCTTATCACCGATGGCGAGCTGTCTGTGGGGGAGCTCTGAATCCTGCCCAGAAACAACAGCCGCGTGCATCAGCCGTGGCTGCTTCTGTCTGCAGTCGTGGGGATGTGGCTGAGCAGCTTGCCCTGGTGCATTTTTATGTTATGCTGCTAACAGTATGCCTAGATTAAAGGTACCTTATGTACACTTACAAATGCTAATCACACCTGATTTGTTTTATCTGAGCTGCTTTTCCATGCGAATTCTAACCCTTTTCTAGGCAGGATTCACCGTGCCATAACGAATTGAATTGCTTGGAGGCTTTTTCTGGTGGTCTAGTTGAATTTTGCAGTTAACTTCCTTTCCCTCTGTTTCTACCAATTAGATTTACTTCTTAATGCTTCATGTTTTATGTTTTTTAAAAATTTTTAATGAGCATTTAATCATGAGTCAAGTCTGGATAGCGTTTTCTCTCCATAATTTTCCCTCCTGAAGCGGTTCCTGCCAGTTTTTGGTGGTTTTTATTTTGCTTTTATTCCCCACTTTCTCTCTTAGGTATCTACTGATAATGCAGTATAAAACAATTTTGGACCTGTCCTCCTAGCTGCTGAAACTGCAGAACAGCGTGCTTGGCGTGCTGAGGTAAGTGAATATATCCTCTTATTGACCACTAAAGAGATCCTTCAGTTTTGAATGAGGCGACTTTGTGTGCCAGGAACATGCTCAGCCCAAACATCTGCTTCCCAACACGGAGCAATCAGAGAGCACCCAGCAGACAATAACTCGTGTCTCCATACAAACAAGGCTCCTTCTGGAAATTAAATGGTTTATCTCAAGTTATGAGACTGCTGACTACTCTTTGAGAGGTACTTCAGGGCTGGGGAAATAACTGCAGTCCTGTTTGTCATGTCCAAAGGAAGAGTGATCCTGGAATTTATTGTCCTGTGTGCGTAATTTTTGTATCTAGCAAAATACTGAAAGTAGGATTTATGAACTAAACAAACATGTTTCCGGAAGATGCTGGCAGCTGTGTGCCTTGAGCAGTAGTGGCGGCATGGTGAATATATCTCCTCTGAAAATCTTCTTGTTTTATAGGACAATAAAATTAGTGAATGAAAGCAGAGAGGGAGATATAATGGATCTGGGTTTTAACTAGCATATGAATCAATATCTCATGAGATCTTGCCTGAAAGAAAAAAAACACACGTACTTCAGGAGCAAGGGCATGAAGAGAATAGGGGAAAAGAATGGGAGGGGTGGTCTAGTGACTGCAGCTGGAGGTCTGAGCAGGACAGGGCCTCAGCCAGGGGGTGTAATTCTGTGCTCTGCCAAAGGCTTCCCAAGGGCACATTGCTGCTTTTCTCTGCACCTTGGTTTGCCATTGTTAAATGAAGACTGTACCATTACAGCAATGGTTGGTTGGCTTGTGGGCAAGGTGGCATTTCAAGGTGAGAGGTTCTCTGATCTGTGGGACGAATTGTTGTTAGATTTTTGTTCGATTTTCCACCCCACTGTATCAGCAATTACAAGGTATTATTGATTTCTCACCATTGCATGCTTCGTGCATGAAGGGGAAGATTTTGGTGCCTATTAGGATAGCAATATTTCATACACATTTTCCATTGGTTGGGCAAAAGTTCTTTATGGTTATGAGCTAACCCCGTTCTCACAAACAGCCATAACTCATCTGTTACAAGTTGCTGATTCTTTCCTTTGACTCGGAAGAGGAAAAAGATTTATTTGGCATTTAGAAACTTCCCATAGCAACAACAGGAGAGAATACACATCTTTGCTTTTCTCCTCTGCCCTGGAGACAGGTCAGAAGAGGTCCTTGATGGGGCTGCAGAGTTGGTCCTTCAGGCTTGCAGCCACATCTCTTGGTGCTGCCTTGGCTTGCCCGATGGTGGGGGCAATGGGGATTGCCTGCAGGGAGGATGCTGCTTTCCTGGGCCCAGGAGCATTTGCTCAGCCTCCAAACACGTGTGCTATCCAGAGAGATTGTCTGCAATGAATGCTGAGCGACTCTTCTGTATCAAACACTTCCCACCTTGAAAACTTCCTTGGTTAACTGCTCATTTCTAAATCATTATTAATGTATTTGCACAGGGATTTTAGAATTTAATTAGCCTCTTTTGAACTGCTCTTAGCGTGTTTGTCTAGAGAAACAGAAAATCCCTCCATGACTTGTTTGCTTTCTTCCTTCGCTGGTTTTCACTGGAAGGGGAAGATACCTCTGGGCTTTACAGGGTTGCAGCCTCCTGCGTTGCAGGATCCATGCAGGCACTCATGTTTCATTTGGAGCCTTCCTTGGAGTGTTTTCCTTTGCAAAGAGAGGCTGGGCAGAGCGGAGCAGGGCTCCTGGTGCTCACACACACACGCACTTTCCCTCTTGCAAACCACAGTGGTTCTGACCGCCGCCTCTGGTACTGTTGTGTTGGTCCCAAATTGAGGAAGGATGACTAACTTAATCACTGGATAGTTTTGATTTCTAAAATTAAACGGCCTGCCACATGTGCAACGCTGTTGCTGTATTTATACCAGCAGTTAGCAGGCAGCACCAGGGAGCGAGAGGGGCTTCACAGCTGCAGCTTGTGCCTGCACTGATGTGTGCAAGCAGATGTTCCTTCCTACTTCTCCCAGCCTTGTGGATTTGTCTCCCTGTAAAAACAACAGCACTTGTGCTCAGAGAGCTTTCTGGCCAAGTTCTCAGCCATCACTTTGTAAATGTATGCTGATGAGCTGTGGTGCAACTCAGCTGCAGAGGTGGAAAGGCCGAGGGGCTGAGAAAAGCCGGAGTGCAGCAAGCCCCAACCCAGTGCTGAAGCAGCTGTGGGCTGCAGAATGGCTTCCCTGCGAAGCTGGGAGGCTCTGCCCCCCAACATCACCCAGGTGGCTCTGCCCGGAGCTCTTAGGTCAATAGGAATGAGATGCCTTTCTCTCACTGCTTTATAGCTAGCCCCACACAGTTTTACGTGGGTTATAGGAGAGAGGAAATAAGAGCAATAAGCTGCGGATAAAAGCCAAGGTGAAACGCACAGAGGTGGAAGGGCTTCATTCGTTGGAGGAGGACAGACTGAGGGATGAGCTGTTAGTTACTCTTTTGGTTCATGCAGTAGTCCTCTGGTCTTAGACGTGTTACTGAGCTTTGCTTTCTCGCAAAAGGCCTGGCAGGAGAATGAAGAGATGAAACAAATTTTTAGCACTAACCAATGAGAAGTGTTTGGGTGAAGCTGAAATATTTTGACGTACTGGATTGGATTTTACCGACTCTGTGACTTAGACATGCTTTTGTTTGGTGTTAAGCAGGTGTTACTGCAAAGCATCAGTGAGGCGTGTTTTGGTAGAGCTTTGTGTGCGTGTTGAAGAGGTGGCAGGAGAAGGTTTGCTTTTCATTTGCTAAGGCTTCTGATTGAAAACAAGTGTAATCCTTTGGGATTTCTTTGTGAGCTCTATGGATCTGGCAAGTGTATTTAATGGAAGCAGAGAGTGTTCAACATAAGGTTTTGGATGGGGGGCTGGACAGCCTGGTCTAGTATCAGATCTGGAGGTTGGTGGCCCTGCCTCTGGTAGGGTGGGTTGATGATCCTCAGGGTCCCTTTCAGCCCAAGCCATTCTATGATCTGCCCCTTAGAACAATTTCAAATTAAGTAAACCCTATCAATTATGTCTGGAAGAAAAAAAAGAATTAGACAAGTTTCACCAGTGCAGTGCTGCATGCTCTCCTGTCAGGTTGCATGAATGCTACTGGGTACAAGAACACCCTGGAGCACCAAGAGATGACCCAACACTTCACAGCCTTGTATTCTGACCTGTCACTTGTCAGCTTCCAGGCGTCATCTTCAGCACCTTCAGTGCAGTAAGATAGTTCTTTGAGTGTCAAAGGTGTGGATTTATGCCAGGGGAATTGCTCTTGGGATGCAAGCATGACTTGTAATTATTTTTTGTTTCCATGAGTTAAATAAATTTAAGTCCATATTTGGATTCATATTTTAATGATAGAACTGCAGCACAAAGGAGCTGCTGTTTGTGCCAGCAGGGCACTTGGCTCTTTCCTTTTTGCTGCCTCCTGTCTGAAAGGGGACGCAGCATATATTGATCCTAGCGTTTAGAACTCGTTCTATTTATGAACCCAAATTGCAGAATGAAGGTACGAAGAACACTTGAAAAGGGGAAGATCTATACGAGAACGACGAAGGGAATAAATTAAAGCAGCCTCCCCTCTCTAATGGGCTGCCAGCTGCTGTTAGCGAGGGGATGCCCCAGTGCCATCTACCTGAGTGATGCTCCAGCATCAGGGGATTTTCTGGAACACAGTATTGATTTTTGTTACTACATTAAGCTTTTAACTTTGTCAGTGGTATTCTTGGAAATCATTACTGCTGTGATGCGCAGCACGAGAGGTGAAATATCTCTGCTGCTGCTGTGTGGGTGCAGTCTGCGATCGCTTCCCTCTTTCTTCCCTTTGTTGTGGAAGCCCCATTCAGCTGATGCACCTCAAGGAGAGCGAGGAGGAAAGGAAGTAAAACTGCAAGCCAGGTTGGCCTTGGAACTGGGTGAGAGAGACTGATTTTTTTCAACAAATTGGTGACAACTTTTTAAGCTTTCCTAGTGGCTGTGAATGTGGGGTAGGAGGGGTCAGAGCACGGTCCAGGGCTGATGCTTGGGGTCCACTGCGTGAGTATGTGGATGTGCGCTGTGGGGGCTGAGAGCTGCATTCAGCATGCTTATTCCTGCTTGAATTCCTGCATCTTAAATGAACTCAGCCACTGGGTGAGCTCAAACTCTTCCTAATTGAGACTGAAGATAGACAAATTAGGGAGCAGAGGGAGAGAAGTGGAGAGCTGTTGTTACTGAGGTTTAGGCTAGGTCCTAGGCTTGTTCCCTTATGCAGAGATTAACATAGAACATAAAGCTGCACGTCCAAATGGCTGTGGTTGTTTCTAATCCATCCAGCTTCCCGTCAGAAGGGAACTGCTCGCAGACAGGAGCATTTTACTGCAGACTCAGCTGTGCTGTGCTGTTAGAAGCTGTTAATTCCCCATCCTGTCTCCTCCTCCTATTGCTCCCTTCCCAACAGCTGTTCTTGGATCAAGCTGGCTGCCTGCTCCTTGGGGTCTGTGTGTGAGAGCCTGGGAGATGTTCCATTTCAGGACAAGGTAAGGCGATTCCTGCCCTTAGAAATCCTTCACTGCTGTGACCTCCTGAGAGATGTGAAGGTCCCAGAGGAGGGAGTACCTCATCAAGGAGAAAGCTGATGTCATAGAATCAGTGGAATCATAAAGATCATCAATCATAAGATCATCAAGCTCAACCACCAACCCATCGCGTGGCCACAGAAATGACAAATGGCCAAGTATTATCTGGCCCCACAGTTATTTTCATGTCAGTTCTTTGCAGGAAAGAGAGGTGTAAGGAACCAGGAGGAACTGTCCCATCCCTTCCACTGCCCCAGGATGGAGCCAACTCTCTTCAGGTTTGTTTTGGTGCAGAACAGCAGAGTGAGGGCTCTACTCTTTGCTTGGACCGGCTCTGTCTGCCCCACATCCACCAGACCCCTCTGCACGACCCTTTGCAATGAGAGCAAGTGCTCTTGGCTAGGAATATGTTGTTCTCCATAGTGTCTCCATGCTGATAGCTCTGATGAGAGGTGGTCCAGCTCGTTGCTAAAAAGCATTCTGCTGACAGAATGTATGCCTGGGAGAGTGATGAGCCTCCACCTTAGCAAAATGCACAGAGAATTTTCCTCTTCTGCAGTCTTCCCCCCTCCCCCTATCCACTACTATGTCAAAACCTTGAGTTTTGTGTAAAGTTGTTAAATAAGCTTCTGGGCAAAATAAAAGATCAAAAGAGGTCTAATTAGCTGCAGTCTGCTTAGGAATTGTGGATGTTCACCTAGTTTTATAAATTGACACTTTTAACATTAAAACTCAAAGCAAAAAACGATGTAATTATTCCTTTTTTTTTTTTTTTTTGAAGCTTAGGTTTAATGTCTTTATTGAAAATTGGGTACTTCTATGGCATCTCAAGATGCTTTATTCTATCAAATCTGGAGCAAGTCATTTTTCATTTTGGATTGTAATGTGGTACAAATGATAAGAGCCTGATTCAGAAAGCTTTTTTTTTTTCTCCCCACTGGCAGCTTGACGAGAAAGCCTCATAGTCACGTCACAATAACCCTGAAGATAATCTATTGTTTGAGTCTTTGTGAAACTGCTTGCTTTTATAAAGGGGAAAAGTGAGATTTTTTGAGCCCATGGTTAGGGTGCCTGAACCTCACTTGCTCTCACAGGATTTTTGCTGCTTTTTAAATTTTATACCTTTTACCAGACACAAGATACCAAGGTAGAAGTAGGTACCTGCTATGATGATCTGTGCTGTGATCATCTATTGAAGTCTATGTGCAGTCTAATTGAAGCTCAGAATGTAACAGGTAGTTGAATGGAGAACATCTGGTGGTTAGAGCAAAGAAGGAATGAGAGATGCATAGATGAGCTTTGTTATAGTTTTTGGGCTTGTTTCCAAACTCCGATCATTTGGATGTACCATGCTTCATGTTCACGTCCAGTCTCCCTGAATTTGACCTCAGTATCATAGAATAGAGTGGACAGATGAGAGGAGGGTCACGAGGAAGTCATGTTAGAGCTGGACTGTTCACAAGTATTATTTACACTGTGGCAAGACACACAGTCTCCATTTAGAAGCAGAGGTGATGACGCTGGCTCTTCCCTAGTGCATAGGAAGTCCTGGTGCCTGCCCCAAAGACCTTACCACCCATAAAGAGGAATGGCAAATGCAGGGTTTGTATTTGTGTGAGGGTGACTGCAGAAAAGGGTCAGTCCCCCAGTGAACTTTAAACTTTTTTGGATGTTTATCTAAAAGTTCATGCAAATGGAGGTGGATTTCTTTGATCTGGGGTTCTCATGAGAGCTGTCTTTTGTAATTTCGACTGCTCCCTGGCTTGTGTCAGAAATGCTGTGAGTGGGGTCTGCCCTGGGATTTGGCACAGCCCAGGTTTTAACTGGGCTGGAAGGGAAACGGAGCAACATTCAGACAGCAGAGTAGAGCTTGCAGAAGAGAATTTTTTATTGGCATCTTTTATATCATTCTAATTCAGAAGTTTCAGTTCTTGATGATCATGCTGGGCAGAGATTCAAGATTTCATTTGCAGTTGGCTCAGCTCAGATGCTGGAGGAAGCTTCTGCGATTGGGAGGAAGATCCTTTTCCTGCAAGAACAGAATTTCTCATTTGACATTAGGAGTGGGATTAGAGCCTCCTTAAAGATTCCAGTGGGGATTTGCTTGAATTTTTCCAACTCTGCTTCTCTGGCCCAATGTGGCAATTAGAGGAGGGTTGTTTGGTTGTTGCTGTGAGTGATCTGGCTGCTTGCTCTTGTGGATTTCTTGATAATCAGAGCTCACTGAATAGAATGCTTGCTACAAATGTGGTTATTGATTCATAGAGATTTTTCTGAGAATGGAAGCTTATGCTTTATTATTTTTAAGTTGTTTCATTGGCTAGATAGTGAGCAGGCATTACTTTCACACACCAGGACGGCTGCTTTCTGGAAAAGGTTCAATTATTATTCTTTGCACATGCTTTGTATGGGCTGTGCTACCATACAGTGTATGTACAGTCCAAGCCTTTTCCCATTTGCTGCATAGCAAGATATCCACTGACTTCTATGGGAAAGATACTGACAAAAGTATTGGTGTAGGCTGCCCATGGAGGTGGTGCAGTCACCATCCCTGCACGTGTTCAAGAACCATGGAGGTCTGGTACTGAGTGTTGTGGTCGGTGGGCATGGTGGGGGTGGGCTGATAGATTGGATGATCTTAGTGGTCTTTTCCAACCTTAATGATCCTGTGAGACAGAGCCTGGGAGCAGCTCTGGGAGCAAATGCAGTATGATTCCATGAGTTGGCGCTTTGTTCAGGAGTTAATGAGGAGGAGTTTCGATCCCTCTGTCCCACCCAGAGCAAGAGGAGATGGGTGTCTCCTTGGCTGTACGCTGGGTTGAGGATTTGACTTCCAGTGAACAGCCTGGCGTGGTGGAGCTGCTCTGTGTGTTTGCTGTGCTGCTCAGAGGGTGTGCATCGCATGGAGCATCACTCCTGGAAAGCTGAGCTTGGACAGCACAGAGCAGCTTCCATCTGGCTCTCATATAGCCATAATGGTCATTAAATAACACTTTAATGTTTTACAGCTTAATGTTTTTGTTTTAATATTAAACAAAGATTTTCTTTAAGGGAATTTAGTTTAATCATCTGGTTGCATGGCTGACCTGAGGAGGAGCACTGAAAGCCTACAAAATTCCCCAGATGCAGCAGAGAATGAAAGTCCTTACGATTTAATAAACAATCCAAGACAAAATAACTGGACTAATAAGTTTGTGCTCTATACCTGAGGGATGTGAATGTGCACTTATATTGGAAGAAGGAAAACTCCACTTCCATCAGACACAGCTGGTACTTAAGGCTAAATGCATAAACTGTTTTTTATTTTAATTCTTTCATCTTTCCTATGTTTCTTGTGCCAACCTGCCTATTGGAAGTACTTCAATTGCAAGTTTGTGAAATTGCCATTTTTTCTCCTTAAGAATATGCAAGTCTTGTAAATCCCAATTATCACTTCACCTTTTAGAAAGTTACCTGAGCTGACAGATGAACCATGCAGATGCCCATCAAATCTGCTCCATCACTTCAAGCTAATGCCTTGTGTTTTAGTGCCCATCCAAAAATTCCAAATGGGTACATCACCATTGAGGTAATGAATGAAATAAATTCTTATCTAAACACAGGGTTATGACTACACGTTTAAGAGATGGGTTGCTGTAAGTGGTTATAATTTGTAAGTTATAAGCTGTCATGGGTTCTGATGTCTCTCCTCCTCTCAGAGAAGTCCACGAGGTCTTGTTCTTAAAGCTCATTTTCAATGTTTTTGGCTCTGAAGTGTTTGCTAGGTGTTTTCAAGCCTCTTGAGAGCCACACATCAACCTACAGGAAAACATACATTTGTAAAATGATATTAACTTCTATAATTTCTTGTCATTTATAAACTTCATTCAAATGACTCTTGACCATTTTGAGTTCAGAAGCATCCAATGGAGTGCTGAGTTTTCATTTTCCCTTAACAGAGAGATACTGGAAACAAAAAAATGCTTTTCTGCTTGCTGCTGGACAAGGCTTATGGGTAGCGATAATATCTTAGACAAACTGGGATGGCTGGAGAGCTTAGGTAAACTTGGAAGCATTGAGTTCTTCTTCAAGCCTGAAACAGAAGCTTGTAATGCTGAATTAGCAGCTGCTCAGCGTTCAGTTAGTCGTCTATTAGAGCTTTGGAGGAAAAAACATAGTAAGTATTGGTGTATTCTGGTTTACCTGGGACACAGAAAGGATGACAGCTTCTGTATCTTAAGTATAGGACAGATTTGTTTCTCTTGAGCAGCCCACAAGCATGTGATCATGTAAACTCCTACTATATGCTTAGGGGACTGTGTGTCCTCAAGAAATGGCTCGTGTGCTTCACGTTTTCTTCTGTTTTTTAATCTCTGAAGGCTGTCTGGAACCTGGGAATTTGGCTTTTACATTTGCAGCCTTTTTTGCTCTAACACAGAACTATCTTCCAGGTGGAAGCTGAAACCTTGTCCCTGGGGTAGCGAGGCCATGCAGAAGGTCACAAATGGCTGACAGTGCCGAGCTGGTGAGATCTGCTCTTCTGGTTTTGTCAATGATTATCCCAGCCTGACAAAGGTTCTACCCTGGGCATTGTGGCAACTTCTTAAAGTTGATTGGGAGCTATTAAGGAGTGATAAAAATCAGGTATTTCTGACCATGGTGATCAAAGGAGGAATTCAGTGATACTACAATAGGTGCTTGGAGTTCTCTGGGCATTGCCATCAGTATTGTTTAATGACCCAAATGCTATGGCTGCAGTTGGGCAAATAGCAGCATTGGCAGCCGTGTAGAAGTTCTCAGGAGACAGGGATTTCAGAGTGACAACATAACTCATTGCAAGCTGTCTGCTTTCCCTGAATGCTGGCAGTTGTCATATTGTGACTGTCAGCCCGGAGGTTGACCCCACTTCCAGAATCCTGATTTATTCAGAAACCTGCAGATTTCCTCTCTCGGATTTCAAGCATGTTGCCTGTGGTCTAAAGGCAACAGTTCCACCAGCTGAGCTGTTGAAGGTTTCTTTCTGGCTGAGGTTACAGGACACGTGTTAAAAGCTGGTGTCAAGTGAATGCAGCCTAATAGGATTATGAAGTTTTCCTCCCCCTGTACGAATGAGGGTAACTTGATGCTCCTGGCCTACCTAAAGGAATATGCTGTTTGGGGAACGGATCCTCCACTCTGCCATGCTGAAAGGTTGCTAAGATGTCAGGAGGCTCAGAGCACGGAAAGCATTGTGCTGAGAGCTCAGTGAGAGCAGCCATTGAGTCCCCTGGCAACCCAGAGTGACCTTTCCCCAGACGTCTCCCACAAAAACCTTGTTGCACATCCCCTCCCTGTTGGTGTCTGTGGCAATGGCTGGCGGGAGTTTGGCTGTTTGCAATGTAGGCCATTCATGCACGAGTCCCCAAACTGCTGGAGCCCATTGCCCTGTGGAGCTCTGTGAATCTCCTTGCTCCTACTGACCGACAGCCAGCAGTTTCCCAGGCATCGAGCATGTGTGTGAGTGTAGTAATGAGTCATTTCTTTGGGGCTATTGTTTAAGTCTTCAAACCATGGAAGGAAACCAGGAGCCTGTTGTATGTCACTAAAGGTCACTGGCTATTTTTACAGATTACATTAAAGAACACCAAAACTGCACAAAAAGAATATTCAGGCTACAAAGCCAGAACTTTGAAAAATATTTTCACTGCTAAGCTATCACAAATGGCTCTGATGTGTGTGCAAACTGTCATTTTTCAGGGACTCACAGCCTGGCTAAAGATGTGTTGCTCCTCACGGGCTATAAGAATATCATTCTCTGGCACCATTGTGGCCTCCCTTGTAAAATGAAAGCAGTGTTGCAAACTATCGTGCTGAGACTGTTTGACCAAATGCTCAGAAGAGATAGCAGTTTATTTCTTTTTAACTTGGGCTAAAAGTTTTCCTCCATTGGATAAACTGAATTAACTGAAACTTTCACCCAAATCCCAGCTGGGGCGGACAAGCAGCATGGAAAGCTTTAATTTGAAAGATTAAAGTGAAATTCTAAGCAACTGGAGCCTTATAATTCAGTACAACATGGTCAGCCTATCAATGGGAAATCATTTTTTCTGTCTGTTCTGCTTTTGATGTAATTCTATCAAACATTTAATTGGGAGACACAGCTTTAGCTTCAAACTCATTTTGAAGCGATGAGCATTAGTCAGACATAAACAAATGGGCTGGGGGCAAGCTACACAGCTGCCAAGTGGTGGGGGAGATTTAACAAGGGCCTTGTGAGCCGATGCCCCCAAAAGAAGGAAATTAGGATGGATAGAAGGAGAAGGTTTTTTGCACTAAGTGTGGTGAGGCACTGGCACAGGCTGCCCAGAGAGGTGGTGGTGTTGCCCCATCCCTGCAGACAGCCAAGGTCAGGCTGGGCAGGCTCTGAACACCTGATGGAGCTGTGGGTGTCCCTGTCCAGTGCAGGGAGGGTTGGACCACATGACCTTTAAGGTCCCTTCTGACTCAAACAATTCTATGAAACTGCCACAGAGCAGAGAACGGAGCTCTGAGGAGAGGAAGCAGGGGTTGTGCAGCAAATAGGAGGTGCTGGAATTGCATAATCCTGAGCAAGGCTTGAGAGTGCTCGGGTTGGGAATGAAGCCCTGGTGTTGGAGTGCTCTAGGCAGGGAGTGGGCTTCAGTGATGTGCTGTGATCTGAGAGCCACCTTGCTCCTGGGGACATGGGGTAATCTGCTGGTGGTTCACGGGCAATTTATGAGGTTAAACTGGAGGTTCTGAGGTTGAATTAGTCCCCATGCAAATGTGGGTCAAAATGCTAATGTATACTTAAAGAAAAACTGTGTGCAGGCAGCAAGCTCCTTGCAATATCATCTTTGTGGTGACCAGACCTCAGGGAGCACATAATAGGGAGCAACCTTTGCTAATTCTCAGCCGTGGCTGCAGCAGAGCACTGTGGATGAGGGGCCCAGGATGGAGGCAGATGTGACTTCTTTGAGGTCATATCTCAAGTCAGAGTGCAGTTCACTCCCGGGTTTGTGGTCGTGCTGCTGGAGTAGGCTGCCCAGAGTTGCTGGGAATATGTTTGCTTTTAATCTCTGAGCCGTTCTCTTTGCTGAAGTGCCTGGAATTTGTCTCAAAAATATTTTGGAGGGGAAATGCAATCATAAAGCTGAATCTTTGGGCTATGCATGCTTCACTTCAGAGCCATAACATCTTTGATGGGGGTGAGTGTTGTTAACCTGCCTCCTTTGTTTTCTGACAAGGAGAGTAATTTTAAAAATAACATTTTAATCCCTTACACTGCATCCATGTCAGTGTTAGCTTAACTCAGCCCACATTTCAGGATGTCTGGGAGGTGTTTCACTTTCATTCAAGTAGATTTAGTCTTTTAATACTTTCATGACACTATTGCTAACTGGGACCAGAGCCTGGCATGTGCAGCAGGCAGCAAAGTCCTACTCCCAGCAAAGTTCCTGTTAGTTCCTTGTGCAAAGCACTGTGCTTCCTCTCCAGCATCTCTGGAGCCTCATAAGAGCTTTCCTCTTCCCAGCACAACTCAGGCTGGTCCCATCCTTCCTCCTGGAGCTAGTCATGTTTTTCCTGAGCAAAAGGAAGAGGTTCCCAGTCGCTGCAGATGCCATCCAACCATCCCGGCCAGCTCATTTCTGCCCTGCTGAGAGATGCCCACGGGGGTAGCGCAGGCATCGTGCCGGTCTTCCACAGCCAATGGGAAGGGGCAGGGACAAAGGTAAGGCTGGCAGCATGAAAAGGCTGCTTGTTGCAGTGTTTCATGGCCAGTGAGCATGACCAGCCTTCAGGGCTAATTACCAGAGGAGAGAGAAGTATGTTCTTGTCAGCAGGCCTACGGGGTTACTAGTTAATGAAGCAGATATGCAGGTAGCTTGTTTGGTGGCAAGAGCGAGCGAGAGCCTCGTGTCCTCAGGGATGTGGGCAAACCTTGGTGTTGTGCTGGCAGGCTTACAGTGTGAGTGTGTCTCCATGCTGCAGGAATCCCTTTGTACTGCTGGGTCGTCATGTGCCCAAAAGATAGTTGTCTGCTGTCCCAGTGCTGTGCTGGTCTTCATGCAAAAGAAGTGAAAGAACACAGGGGAGTAACAAAGTGTGAAGCCTTTGCCCAGTCTGGTGTGTGTGGACAAACCTAGCGGCTATTTCTGGCTCTTGATTTCATGCTTTCAGTTCACGAAACTTATTCCATCTCATATCCCTCTTCGGCTTGTTCTGGAGTAGGTTACTGCTAATGAGGAGCAGTGATATGAGACTCCTCCAAGTCTATTGCAGTAACTGCTACTTGCTAGCATCACTGCTACCTGCCTTTTAACCCATTAATGGGGTGATATTTGACAAGGGATCTCTGTAATACAAAAAAGCTGACTTATGTATCAGACCATGTTATGCATCTCCTCTGCCAGTGTTCCTTGTGTATGTACCAGAAACGATCCTTTCACTGTCAAAATGTCACCTATTTGAGCTGATGGTTGGCCCGTGGAACTGGATGAATATCCCAATGCAAGACTTGTGAACCAGTGTCATAGCAGAATGGCCTGGCTGCACATGGGGGGCACAGAATGCAGCCCTAAGGATGCAGCAGGTCAGAAGTGAGATATGTTGGCGCAGAAATCTGAAAGAAGATGCACTGTGCCTGGCTAGAGCCTGCTGTTGCCCACCTTTGTGTTTCTCCACTTCTGGTAGGGAAAAAATATATATTTATATATATTTTTTTTTTCTGGGATTTTAAGCAAACATATATTGGGAAAGGGCCAGCCTCCCTTTAGTCTCTGATTGCTACACAATCCACCTGATAAGAGGCGATTAAGATGTTTTGGGGTACAGTTGTGTCTTTGGCCTCCATTCAGGCTACAGAAATGTCTGCCACCCCCAGGAGAGCACGGAGCAGGGATGTGAGAGCCACAGCTGTGCTACTGCATAGTGCTCTGCATCCCAGCATCTGCACAGAGCAAACAGCTGCAGAGAGGCAGCTCCTGCAGCTCCAGGTCTTGACACCAGTCTCTTTTAATGGCTCTGGGCTTGTTTATAGTCATGCTACTTCACTCTGCATTTCTACCAACAGATTCCAGACTCTGTGCATCCCCTGGAATGGATCTCGTTGCTGCCCTTTCTGCTGGGGACTGTGCAGGGGAGACAGAAATGCTGCTGCCGAGAGATGCAGAGAAGGATGTGACAGCATCACTTAGAAGAAACAGCAGCAGCACCAGAGATGGAAAGTCTGGACGTGGCCAACACTGATGGAGCAGTGGTGGAAGCATCAGAAAACCCAGAAGCAGAAGGACTTGCTGAAATTATCCAAGCAGCAGAACAAATAGCAAAATCTGAAGTGGCCAAGGTGCTGCAGTCAGCAATAGCTGAGGTAGAGGCCCTGCAGCATTGGTGCCCATTTGGTGCCCCTTGGGTTAGGCTCATGCAACCAGGGCAAAACCTGGCCTTGCAACCCTGCCCTCTGAATGCCTCAGATTTCTCCTGGAGCTATGGGAGAGTGTGTTATTTTGGGAAAATTGAGAATGAGTTAAAAAAAAAAAAAAAAAAGGGAAAAAGAAAAAAAAATCCTTAAAAATCCCCACAGAGGGTTTGTGCTCTTTTCCCATCTGGTTTCCCTCTGTCTTTCAGATGAGCTTTTTTTCCACGATAGCGGGCACTTTATCAGGCCTGGTAGAGCTAAGGATACAGAGCGCTCCCCATTACAGCCCCGCTGGCCACGTGCTCATCCTGTTCTGAAGCATTCATATTTGGGGATCAAAAAGGGTCCACGCACAGTGTTTACTCAGCCGAGAATTTTTATTTGACATTTGAGCAATTATGCTTTGTGCTGTCCGTGAGTTTGCCGAGTGTGATAAACGTGCTTTTCCCATTTGAAAAAACTTGTCTTTTAACATTGATGATGTGGCGACAGATTTTCAGCAGGGCTGGGAGCAGGATTTGCCAGGGCTCGGTGCCCGCTCTCGGAGCCAGATTGTCAGATGTTCGGCAACCAGCAGCTCCCTGTTGGGTGTGAGGCCTTTGGACATGTTTGTTTCCATGTGCAGAGCTCGTTTGTTGCCTGTGCACCATTGAGCATCCACCTTCAGCTCTGAGGACTGCGCGCAGGAAAATCTGGATCTCATCTTCCCGGGCTCTGATTTCATTTTGAGTTTGCAAGGTCAGCTTGCTGCCTTCACCATTTCCTGGGCCCCAGCGCTGCCCTGAGTGCATGTCTTTGCTGGAGGACATCTTCCTTCAATTTACCCCTGGTTCTGGAAGTAGCTTCTCTTGGGATGGGCACTTTGGCGTGTGTTTCAGTGTGCTTTTATGTTTCATGGAGATCAGCTGGACTTAGGCACATGCTGAAACAATTCCTTAAATCAGAATGTGCAGAGGAGCCTTTATTTATAATTTATAAATATCTGTGGTGTATTTTCCTATGGTGTTTCCAATGTTTCATGCATTTACTCTTGACTTTTCAGCTCAAGGAGATGAGGAGGAGCGCGTGGTTAAAGCTAAAGAACATCACCCAACAGGAGGAGGAGGACTGGGAGAAGAAGAGAGAGATGATGTGAGGTGAAGGTTGGTTCATACCCAAAGTGAGGCTCATACCCTGAGCATTTCCCCTTTGTAAGTGCCTACGCTCTTAAAAATAAAGATATGCCACATTCCACATGCAGTATCATTCATGGGTTTGAAGGGGCTTGTCTTCTGGCTTTGTGAAATGACAGCTCCACACCAACTCCTCCATGATGAGGGAGAGCAAGGAGCTGATTGTGATGGAAAATGTGTTGCTGGCATGAAATGGTATAGAAAAGATGTAATTTTAAATGTCAGGTCAAGTTGCCATGCCCTGTAGACCAAGGCATGATCTGCAGGAGGACTGCTAATGTGAATTAGTTTCACATCCCAGCAGAGCAGGTGCAGTTGCTAGCAGCCTATCCAGCGTGCTCCAGCTCTGAAGCATTTCTTGTCTGGGTAGGACTGGTAAGTTCACTTTTCTGTTTTTTTTCTAATTTTGGTTACTTATCTGTTGAAAGTAATGGGAAAGACCTCTCCACCCAGACTGATAATAGTGAAAAGAAAGGAAAAGTCCACAAGGAAGTCAGGACATTGGAATCAATTGGTAAATTGGAAATCAAAATGGTGTTGTCACCATGAATGGCGTGCTCCCCAGGCAGGGCAGATTGTCGTTAGAACTGGCGTCGCAATTTTGAGAGGGGAATATGGTTTCTTCTAAGGTTATTTTCTCAGCCTGTGAGGTGAGGGTAAGTTTGGGTGATGAAGCAGTCACCACGGGAAGCAAACTGGCAACAAGATGGTGCCGAATGTGGGATCAGAACCAAGAAAGGCTTGGTGCACATCTCCCAGATTCTCTATGGAGGATGATCACAGTGTGGTGCCTGCAGTGAAGAAGGAAATGCACCCTTCTCCTGCAGTGACGTCAAAGGGGTTTCAGTGCCCTTCCCAGTGCACACAGCACCGGTGCTGCCTTTGCTCTGGGGCAGTGACAGCCAGGGAGGGGAGAACAGCAACCTCTGATCAGAGCTCAGCCCCCTGGCCCTAGATCTGAGGAGACAGAGCCCGCCCTCCCTTCCCTTACAATAATTTTATTTTATTACAAAAAGAGCCCATATTAAAAAAGCTCATGATTATGTTTTCTGTTCACCAAGACTTTTCCTGTATTCGACCTTTGGATAACCTCCAAGGCTTGCAAACATTTGAAAGGAGTAAAGGAGCTCATTTTATTGCAGGGCCTCAGCATACATTCTTTCCAGCCTATCTTTAACATCAGTTGACAAGAATTATATAATTGCAGTCTGTGATCCCTTTAAGGCTAAAACGTATTCGTTTTCCCTCAAAGAACACTTCAGGTTTCAGAGCTAAATGTATACATTTTTTTCCATCTGGGCTATTCTGTAAAAAGCTGCTTTCTCTTCAGCTGGCAAGTCCCATTCTAACAAGTTGCATGGATTTATTTTTTACTGCGGTTTTCAGCTCACATGTTAACAAGTAGAAGAAAGAGCCTCCAAATCCCGACCTGTGTTTCCCATTGCATTGGAAAATTAGTGGGTTCCAAAGACCATGCAGGGGGAATCATCCTCCTTAGGTGGAACCAAATAAAATTTCATCTTGCTGATTTAATCAAATTACTGTCTAACGCTAATTGATAGGCAGCCTGGAGACGGGCAGGTAGCTGGGCTGGATCTGATCTTGCATTTCAGAGGTATGATGTAACCCTCTGGGTCAGGAAGGAATTGCTGTTCTCCTATCAGAATGGCATCTGCCACCATGCTGTAGGAAGCCATGGACATCAGATACTCGGGTAGGAGCTGGGGAACGATGCCAGAGAGAAATCTGAAGACATTACCTAGAATTTAAAAAAATGAATTGGCTGCAGCCACAATGACATTGTTTGCATATGTTCCCTGTAGTTCAGGTTTTCACCGCTTTGAGAACAGCAGCACTCGGTCTGTCCACTCTGGGACCAAGCGATGCCCCTGCGCTGAGCGCGGCGAGCAACAAACTGAAAGTCTGCAGAAAGGAAAAAAAAACAACAGAAAAAAACCCTCCCTGCTCTTAGTGCTTCCCAACAATGAGAAATGGAGGGAGCCGCAGCCTGGTCATGGGTATCTGCATGCAGGAAGGGAAGTTGCATTTATCTGGTAAATGAGCTATTAGGAGCGATTAAGCTGTTTGAAGCTGGGGCTCAATGGGCCGATTGTCCGCCCTGGTGCAGCTGAGGGGCTGGCTGTCCAAGTGGGGGCTGGCGGTCCAAGTGAAGAGGTTTAAGTGGTGGATCCCCAATTTGCTTACCCCAAACCTCCGTGTCTTTACCTGTTGGATGCTGACAGCCAGTGTGCTTTTGTCTGAGTACTTTAGGAAGTGCAAACTTTTATTCTAAGTGGTGTTTGCCTGTAAAAATGGTTCCTTACTTCAAATATTTAGTTACTGTAATGGTGATTGCCCCCGTGCCCCTTAGGGGTGGGGACAGGGGCAGCATTCCAGGTTTTATGGAGGGGCAGGTTTGGAAGGGCTGTAAATGCAATAATCTGCGAGAGAGGAGCGTAACAGAATCCCTCTAATGAACTACAAGCCCACAGTTTATAAACTTGGACGTAGATTAGGATCCTGCCTACTGTATAAAAATAACTGTGTTTGGATTTCTTTGTGGCCAAAGGATCTCATAACCTGTTAAGTTCTCAGCACCCATTTTTCTAATGGAGATGGGGCTGTGTAATGCCCCATGTCGCACTGAAAAGAAAATCTCATCTCCGTTAAGCTGTTTCCTGCTTTTGGTAGCCTCTCTGTATCAGGATTCCCATTCTTGTTTCTGTTTCAAGCAGGAGACTAGTTTACAAGGCAAGTTTCTCCTTGGAGATCACAAGAGGCTTTCTTTCCCCTTTCTTTTCTAAGGGGAAGGATTAGGTCACCAGTAATACCATTTGCTTTTTATTTTTTTCTGCTTTGGCTAATCTGCTCTCCAAGATGTCCATGTTACAAGAGAAATAAAAGGCTTTAAGCGGCCGTGGGATATTCCCCCCTCACCTCAGCTCTCCAGCCGAGGAGGGCGACTTACAGAAATCACCTCGTGCAAAAGCCTTAAACCAGAATTTCAGATGCTTGTAAGACAAAGCAGAGAGATAGCAGAGCGTCAGGTGCTGGCGATTACCAGCATGTCCAGTACTGTCTACTGGCAGTACAGCTTTGTATGGAGAGCTCCTGCAGCCGCTCACCTGCAACCATCAGGCTTATCGCTATGCTGAGACCTTCCTGTTCCATTGTCTCTGTGCATTTTTACCTGGGAATGGTAGGGCAGCAGTGCTGAGCTGTGCTGGCAGAGCCTGGCACGCTGTGTGCGATGCGCCTGGCTTCACCCAGGGAAGGGCGCGCGCTGTGTGCGGGAAGTTTCGGGGCTCTGAGCAAAATGGGTTCGGTCAGAGAATAGCGAGCACCAGCAGATGATTGCTTTTGTCTCGTCTGAATACTGAGTGCTGGTTTGTGCTGGAGCCATAAACGTCGTGCTGCAATAAATAAGAGTCTGCATTGGTAGTTTGTGCCTAGCACAGTACAGTGTGTTCGTGCTGGTTACGTTACTTTTGGCAACCTCAGTTAAAGGGCCAGGTAGGACTGGATCTACATCAGCGCAGCTCTGCTGAGATCCGTGCCAGCCCCCGGCAGCCAGAGCTCTGCCTCTCACATGTTTTCAGCTGGCTTTTTTCAGTCCTTTCTTTCCAAAGAGTTTTAAAAACACAATTAAATGGACAGGACCACTCAGCAGCTGAGCATAAAAAGCCGTTTATCTGAAGATATCAAAGTGCTTGACAAAGGTGGGTAATTCTCTCCGTGCCCTTCTCGCAGGGCGGGATGCTGGCATGCAGAGACAGCGAGTGGTTATCTGAGTAACAGAGCCATAGCAGAGGCAGTAATTAAAACTCCGGTCTCATGACACCCAACTCTGTACTGTAACCACTAGACAAACTGCCTCCCGGAACCGTATCTCATCTCTATCTCCCTCCATATGCACAATAAAGCTTTTGTAGTATACGCTGTACGCTTGCTATTGATAGTTGTATCAGCTGAAAGATAATGCTTGCTCTTCTAACTGGCTGCAAGTGTACTCCGTACAACCTCAATTATCTGAGCATAATGGGGGAGCGGTGGAGAATTTTGGGTAATCGAGGTTTCGGTGTAATGAACGGACATGGTGGGACAGGGCATCGTTTGGAGAGCAGGTTGGGAGAGCTGGGGCTGTGCGGTCAGTTCACAAGCAATGAGCTGCAGCTGGGAATACGGTGTTCTTAGATTCACAGATTCATTTGAGTTGGAAGAAACCCTTAAAGGCCATCTGGTCCAACACCCTTGCAATGAACAAGGACACCCACAGCTCCATCAGGTGTTCAGAGCCCATCCAGCCTGACCTTGGCTGTCTCCAGGGGCGAGGCATCACCCCCTTCGCTGCTGCAGGTACCCCTCTCAAATCAGTGAAGGCCAACAGCAGTTTTTAATGGAAAACGTCTATGTGGCAGCTCAGCACACCGCTCAATAGGAGCACAGGGGCTACGTGGGTGGCTTCCACTGTTTGCAGAGAAGCAGGGCCAGAGAGCGTCCGAAAAATAATTTCCCCTGCACATGCTGTAAATTCTAGGTTTTGAGTACGGCCCAGCGGTTAATGAGCTCCATACGGGCGGAGCAGTGCAGTGTCTGTAGAGATGTATTTGTTTACGAAGTTAAAGGCAGGAGCTGGGAGCTATGTATCCTGGCTGTTACCTGCAAGCTGGGACACATTGATATGTGTGAGCTGATGTCTGACGTTGCTGAAGCAGCCCACTCTTTAAATTGCTTTAAATTCCAGTCTGTGCTGCATCTCTGGAAGTTGCAGTGGCTGCTAGTTGTGTTCTCAGCAGTCACTTCAAATGCCTGGAAAAATAAAATGGGTTTTCTTGTGTGCTGCAGCACTTACCCTGATCTGCATGTTCGTGCAAGGAGAACGTGCGTATTTGTTATCTTTAATACAGTCTGGATACACACACATACGCATGTAATTCCCTTTCTTTTTAGACACCAATCTGTGTATGTGTATTTATGAGGGCTTGACACAGACTTCAGTAGAAGCAGGACTGACCTCAACATTTTGTACATTATTAAGAGGAACAACAG